GGGGGGGGTTTGAGGTGTGGAATGGGGAAGATAATGGGAGATGTTGGGAAGGGGTGAGGGAAGCGTCGTGGGGCAGGGTTGGTGAGGGAGAAATTGCACGGTAATAGGGGTGGTTGGTTGCGGGTCGGTTACGGGCTTTGGGGTGTGGTGATTCGTCTTCCTGCCGTCCGGCCTGGAGTAGCCGGACCGCGCCAGTCCGGGCCGCTGAATGCACAGCGAATCCCAACTCGAGGCCCTGCGGCAGCTCCAGTCGCTCGGGAATCTCTGATAAAGGCCTTAGTCAAGGCTGCGTGCAGGGCGGCCTGGTAAGTCAGCACCTACCTCAACACAACCGCCGTAAGGAAACAGCAAAGTTCCAAAGTGACTTACAAACAAACCAGGGGAGGTGGGGAAATCCTCCCCTCGGTAGCGGGGGATCAGGCTAGCAGTTAACGGCGAGGGAGAGACGGTCGGAGAGGAGCCGCCGAGCTGTCACCGAGCGGCTGCCATGGTTGCTCGAGCAAAGCTAAACATTCAACGACGTCAGCGCGTTCCCACTGCCGGCCGCCCGCGCGCCAACACCCCTCCCCGTCCCCGGAGGGGGCGGGGTTAGGTGATTGACAGCGGGACTAACCACCAGAATCACGAAGACGGTGTCATAGTTACCAATCACCGCCAGATGGAGGCGGGCAGATAGGTATCGTGATGGACTGCTCTGCAGAGTCTCAGTCCCCAGAATGTCGGAATTAGCGAAAGATTCTTTATTTTGCAACTGGGCTTTCACGTAAAATAATTCCTTAATATCACGAGAAAATAAACAGAATGATTCGGGAGAAGATTTAAATGCATAAATATGCAAGGTGGATCCAGAGTTGGTTCATATACTAGCGCTCCCACACTGACCTCCAGATATGCTCCTGTGTCAGATTTCCTACTGTCGGTTTATTTTTGTAAGCATTCTCTTCCCACCCCGCCCCCCACCACGAAGACTTGGTGTCCGCTTTGCTGATGCTTCCACAGTTCTCACCTAGGCAATTATCATCCCAGTTTAAATCCTTATTCATCTATTATTATTGCTGTTTTCTTCCAAAATTTTTCTTCCATACAAGTGGTCACTAGCCATTGATCTTCTGGGTTTGACAGAAATTTGTCTTGTAGCTAATGACCCCTTTGAATCCTTCTAGTCACCAAAGAAACGATGGCAAACATACTCGAGAACAGCTTGTGGATAGCCTCAATGCCTTGTGCATTAGCAGGTCACAGAGTCATACAGCACAGAAACAGACCCTCCAGTCCATGCTGAATGTAATCCCAAACTATACTAATCCTGCTGGCCTGCTCCTGACTCATTTCCCTCCAAACCTTTCCTATTCATGCACTCATCCAAATGTCTTTTAAACATTGTAATTGTACCCACATCCACCACTCCTTCAAGAAGTTCATTCCACACATGAACCACACTCTGTAAAAAATTTGCCCCTCATGTCTTTTTTTAAACTTCTTTCGTCTCACCTTAAAAATGTGCCCCCTAGTTTTGATATTCCCCGTATGCAGGGAAAAGACAACTACCATTAAATCAGTCAATATTCCTCATTTTCTTATAAACTTCCATAAGCCCTGAACCATTCTCTGCCCTTGCTGTTCTGGTGCTGTTATAGCATCACAGTACTTGATGACATTCAGAGTCATTGAGTACTAAAAGCAAGGCTGATTTGCCGTTTCTAAATAAGTTATTAATTAAGCCATAGATAAAATAGCTACTCCTGATCTGCACATCTACTGAGGATTCCAGGCATCGAGAGCCTCGAGATGAAGCCCAGTGCAATCTGGAGTCAAGGCCTGGCACAGACTAGAGGCTAGGTGCCATTGTGGACTGCGTTGGAAGGACTATTTTCTATTTTCTAATTTATTCCTACAATCTGTAATGCTGGACTTTTTAATTTCTTCATTTTTCTTTTTTTTCCTAAGAAGCTGTACTGAAGAATCTGTACCCAGGTATCTTGTACCAAAGATGGTGCCATAAGTGGCGACTTGTAAACTTTTCACTGTAACTCATTAGAGTACACATAACAACAAAGCTAATTCCACTCGATATCATGTAGACCATGTGGAGGATGCAGAAGAATCTTCAAAATCTTAAATCCTAAGAAAAACTTCCCTCAATTTGTAAAGCATAGTTTGATTTCAACAAATTTGTGCTAATTAGATCTGGATTAACTTCTAAATTTTGAAATATTTTCTCTTGAATCCTAAATCCTGTAAGTTTACCATGCCAGTCTATATTTACCTGACTTGTCTGCCTTTCTTTTCAACAGTGATGTTATACCTTCAGTCCGACGATATAATTTTCTTGAATGATGAGGGTTGGCTAAACATTATTGAACCTCTGCTTTTTTCCCTGACATTTTTCAGTAACTTCAAATCCGTGTCAAAACTGAGTGATTTTTCCACCTTAAGCTCTGCTGAATTTTTCAGAATCACGTCTGTTTTTTAACTTCTAATAATCATTCCAAAAACCCGCTGGTACTCCAACATTATCTTTCACTGTATGAAAATGAAATATCCCTTTTTAAATGTGTTCTTCAGAGAACAAAGCACAGTTGATCATTGGAGGATTCACAAGAACACTCTTTGAATGACATATGGGGTACAACAAAAATATTAAATGAATCCTTAGATGATGCTCAACTGTCAGTTTCTTTATATTAATAAGAAATTGTTAATATTATCAAACATATTGCTTTAGTTAGAATGAGGATATCAGGGCAATGATGTGACATGGTTGATAGCTGTCGTACACATATGGTTTTCAATGAATTGAGGACCATTTTCAAATATCACTTCTGCTGGGGTCCTTAAAGACTACAGACCATACTAACAGTGATGCGCTAATGCTGCAATCAACATGGCTTGAAGCTTCTGTCCAATACTCTGAGTGGCAGTCAGGAGAAGAATGTTCTGTCCCAACCATGACCAGATCTGGAGGTATCTGGGTCCATGGTGATAATAGTAAGTCAAACAGTTGGAAGGATTCTTGTTGCTTAATCTTGTCAAGATCAACATTACTGGTTAGGAGCTACCCCTCAGGTTGCTGGGTGCACGCTATTACAAACTGGCATCCCAGAAGAAATTCCCAGTCATTAGACTGCCATCAGGACTTTCTTTGTTACTGGTCTGAAAGTAGTTTCTGAACCACTGTGTTCATGTTCTCTCAGAGTGTATAAACCTTGTTTGTTGCAGTCTTCAGACTGGGTCAGTTTATGGATAATGACTGTGCTTAGATTTTAAAACGATTGCACACTGGTAAGCCAATTACTGTAGGCCTTGTTATGTTCACTGTACAGAATGTAGACTATGTTGATTAATAGCACATGTATTTCAGGTCAAGGGAACCTGGACACTCTTTGTCAAACTATTGTCTGACATGAGCTTTACACTTGTGAGTTGAACATCTGGGTTTCATGGCATAGGTCTTTAAGAATGCAGAAAGGCAATAGTTGGCCCTTGCATATGTTTCAGCCTGCATTCTCAGTTAATGCCTGCCTAGTTTTCCAGGACAGATGATAAACCTACCGTTTTGTAAAAGGAATTGAAATGGTTTGCTGAGCTGTTCATGGGAAATAGGTGCCCCACTGCGACGTTGTCAATTTAATTCACTCCTCCAATTTAGTCAGGCATTCCCCAATTTCATGTATGGGTCATTTTTTGATGATTCTTGAAAGTGTCTTGCCATCCATCTCTGAAAATCTTGCTGCCATTGCCTCTACGAACTATTCACAATCTATACTAATGACTTGGATGAAGGGACCAATGTATGTTTGCTACATTTGCTAATGACACAAAGAGAGGCAGAATTGCAACATGCAAAGAGGACATAAGGAGTCAGTTTGGAAAGGGATATAGATAGGTGAAGTGAATGGATCATGATATGACAGATGAGTATAAACTGGGAAAATGTGAACTCATCCACTTTGACAGGAAAAGTAGAAAAGCAGTATATTATTTAAATGGAGACTGCAAAGTTGTTTCTTGCAGAGGGATTTCAGTGTTCTGATGCATGAATCAAAAAAATGAATATGCACTTGATTTAAAAATTGGGGCTTCTCATTTAAGACAGAGATACCCAGACTTTACAGGATCAAACATACATGTTGAATTGAATTAGCTTTATTGTCACATGTACTCAAATTAGTACAGTGAAAAATTTATAAGTTACCACTTACAGCACCATCTTAGGTACAGAGTACCTAAGTACAGTCCTTAGTTACAGGATAGAGAAATGAAGAAAAAAAATTACATTACAGCTATACGCAGTATGACTGTAAGTCAGAAAAAAAGAAACGAAGCAAAGTTAAAAAGGCAAACATCACAGTCTGTCTCCGAGAGCTCTCTGCAGTGGACAATTCCAGGGGGCCTCCACATGGTACAACCATTGGCTGCCACCACATTCTGTGCTGAGCTGCTATCCCTGCTCCCGCACTGGACCCCGTTCGCCATGCTCCGCACTGGACCACTGTCGCCATGCTCCGCACTGGACCCCTGTCGCCATGCTCCACACTGGGCTGCTGGTCACTGGCATCGCCACTCCGGCTGCTGGCGTGTTTGCTGACCCCAGTTTGGAGGCCGGGAGTTGGAGGTCAGGGCCGGATGTCAGAGGCTGAGAGAAGGGAGGAGAGGGGGATACAAAGAAAAAGAAGATAAAGAATGGGTGAAGCGCAGGAACCATCTTACCAGATATTTATGATTCCAAGAATGCAGTTGACTTATAAATTCTCTCTGAAATGGCCTGGCAAGGTACTCAGTTGCATCAAACTGCCAAAAACATCTTAAGGGAATGAATCTGGATGGATACCTGGCATCAACCTAGCCACAGGAGACAGTGGCAGCAAACTCATCCCTCTGAACCCTGCAAAGTCCTCCTTACTAACATCTGGGGGCTAGTGGTAAAATTGGAAAATTTGCTCCATAGACCGAGGCAAGTAAAAGCCTGTCATATTCTCAGAATCGTGCCTTAAATACAACGATCCAGACATTACTATCATCCCTGGATATGCCACTACCATCATTCCTGGATATGCCTTAACACACTGGTAGGACAGACCCAGCAGATTTTGGGGCACAGTGTTTACAGTTTGGAGGAATTCCCTTGGGAGTCATCAAAATGGACTCCACCCTCCTTGAAGCCTCATGGCATCAGGTTGAATCTGGGCAAGGAAACTATCTATCACTCCTCTCAGTTGATTAATTAATATTCCTCCATGTTGAACACGACTTGGAGAAAGGGCGCAGAATGGGTGGAAGATTTAAATCACTAATCATGATTTAACAGCATTACTACTGACTGAGGTGGTCAAGTCCTAAACAATATTGATGCCAGACTTGGTCCGTGGCAGGTTGTGAGAGAAGTACCAAGAGGGAAAAACATACTTAATCTCAACTTCACCAGCCTGACAGGTATAGATATGTCCTGTGGAGATGCATTACAGTCTTACATTGCATTGTGTGGCACTGTCACTACACTAGACTTGAAACCGAAGCAGCAAATCAAGATTGGGCATCCATGAGACAATCTGAACCA